ATAACTACATACTTCATCCGTTCTTTTTAGTTGCAACATTTCAATTTTCACGCTTACCAGCGTATAACATTAACTGCCATTATGTTTAATTCTTCACGTGTAGGAGCTGCAACGGAGTGTTGGTGCTGGTTACTCATGGGGGATTCACAATTTAAGGTTACGAGGGTGATTTTTTTGGGGCTAATTCTTTCCACTACTGTAGGGCTCTGCTATTTTTTATTTAAAAAATTTCATTAGTTACATACATGACATTTAAATCTACTATTTTCTAAATTTACACAATGAGAAAAATAATTTTATAATTGAAGTGCTCTAGAACAAAAAAGTATTGGTAAATTAAAACGTAAGAAATGAAAAATTAAAGGAAATGGTGTGATAGTAAAAGGGTTTTTTACAAGAATATCACTAAAATAAAACATATTTACATAAATATGATTATTCATTACTACAATGTGGTGTTGTGGTAACTTAAGCTCAAAACTTGAACATGAGTTACTATGATTTCATCACTACTCTAGCCACTAATTACATTTTTGTAAATCATCTTTATTTTGGTCATATTTATGTAATTTTTTCATAATAAAAAGAATAATTAAATTTAATCAAATTATTTGAAGATAAAGACTCTAAAATGCACACATCCGTCAAAACCCTTTTCAATAACATATGTCATGTTTAAGCCCATGAATCTTATCGGTATAAAGAATTGATTTTTGTGTTACACTTTTTTTTCTACCAAGTTCATTCGTAAGTCACGCAGTGTTTTATTTGAATATTATAATGTTGCTACATATTATATTTATATTAATGCTAAAATAAGTTTAAAGTTTATTATATAAGTAAGAAATACTTTTTAGAAAGTAAGAAGTAAATGAGTAGATTTAAAGTTTGTATTTTGGATTCACTTCACAGGGGAGTGTTCAAATATAAAAAAGTCTTAACTTGTAAAATGAGAATTAATCTCAGACGTCCAAATTGTCAATCTGATAAGATTTCTTCGAAAGTGCATCATATAAGGTTTAACTGAAAAGTGCATCAGATAAGGTTATTGTGCATCATATAAGACAATTTGGACGGATGAGATTAATTCTTATTTTTCATATTAAGACATTTTTTATTTGATCCAAACTCTCATTTCACATTATCTAAAAGTTGTTTAACTAGCGTGTCTGATATTTAATACCGTTTGATATTTTAGAAAATCGAGTACTCATTATCTGATAAAGATAAATTAAACATTACAAAAGTAGAGTTTTTTATATAATAAGTATCCCATCCTTAAACAAATCATGAGTTGTTCTATTGTTTATTTGTCTAAGTAATGATAAATTATTTTAGATGTTTCTCCTTTTAAATCTCCTATAAAGTACTCCGTACTATACTCCGTATTATGCAAGACTATATATTAATTTTGTAAACTAAAAGTTAGGGGGGTGAATACATATATATCTAATTAAAGTATGAAAATTTTATAAAAATATTACATACTCCCTCCGTCCCCCTAACTGTGTCCCGTTTTACCTTTTTGGTCCGTCTCATTAAGTTTATCTCATACCATATTTGATAATATTTGGGTGGTTACAATTCATTCTTACTTTATTCACACTTTATCAATTTAATATCAATCACACAATTCTACTTTTTTTGGAGATAAATTCTACTTTTTATTAAAACCTGCACCACACCCTTTGTCCCAATCTTAGAGGTACGAAGGTAGTATATAATACTCCCACCGTCCCTTAAAACTTTGTCAACTTTTCTTTTTTGGTTGTGTCATTAACTTTGTCACTTCCCTTTTAAAGAATGTGTGGTTCCGATTAATTCTCTTTCATTTGTACAAACCTCAATCACACAGTTGTTACCTTATTAATCTTTGTGCCGGTCAAACTTGGAAAAGTTTTAAGAGATGGAGGGAGTCAGGGGAGTAGCTAGGATTGAAGGTTGGGCTGGGCCGGCACAGAGAATTTTTCAGATAATATTTTTTCACATAAATTTTTACACTAAAAATACAAAGAATTTTCAAAATTGGGGCGGGCCATGGCCCAGTTGGCCACCCCTCTACCTCCGCCCCTGGAGGGAGTAGAAAAAATTGAAAGTTCGGGGGACGGTCGCCCCTCACCCCTTAAATTAAATGGGTTTTTTTACTGCATTTGTGTTTTTTCTGTGGTGACTTTATATGTCATGCCTATCAGTCTAGTTAAACTTGTAAACATTCACAGTAAACACTACATATGAAAATAATGGGAATTGGGTAAATATCTACAAGGTGGAGTGTGAAGGTTACAAATATCCAACTTGTTCCGGAGGAACTGACACCGATCCATATACCAAGAGTGCTTTGGTAAATATGTTGGATAGTTGATTGCTCTATTTACGATGAAAACGCTTAATCACAGAGAACATAGTAAGTATTGGATTTGATCATATCTTGTTGTATATGTTCTTGCGTTTCAAGCGTTTTATATCTCTTTGGAAATATCATTTTGTTTTCTAATACTAGTGTTCCGACTTTATTTATGATGTTTTCTATTGGACTATTTTCAGTCCTAGACCATACCCCACCAGATCAGACTTCAACAGACCAGATCATATTTGGACAATTATAAAATACACAGAGACGAGATGTTTACCAGACCAAACCAGGCCAGTTCAGACCAAACCATACTAGATTTAAACAGACCAGACCAGACCAACAAATTTCAATCCAAAAGAAAACATCCTTACAATGCATTTAGTAAAAGGTACAGATTAACCTGAAATTCGTAAACATTTTCGATTTCACTACGAACTCGTGTCGTATTTGATCTGAGGGAAAACTTTCAAATAGGTCCTCGAACTTTCATAAAAAGGTCAAATAAGTCCTTATATAGGAGGCTTTGTCTGGCCGTCGCGATTCGGGGCGTTTCCCGGTGGAATTTTTTTATGAAATTTTTTTAGCATCTTATTCATCAAGTCTAGTTTACTCATACCAAATTTCAGCTAAACCTTCAATAGGGAACGCTTTCAAATTAATTCTTGAAGATAACTGCGCATTTAACTGCACAGTTATCTTCAAGAATTAATTTGAACGCGTTCCTGATTGAAGTTTTAGCTGGAATTTGGTACGAGTAAACTAGACTTGATGAATAAGATGCTCAAAATATTTCATCGAAAAATTCCACTGGGAACCGCCTCGAATCGCCACGGCCGGACAGAGCCTCCTATATAAGGACTTATTTGACCTTTTTATGAAAGTTTGAGGACCTATTTGACAGTTTTCTCTTGATTTGATCATACATTGCTAGATTTTGTTCCATTTGAAGTGTTTTCTATCTCGTTGGCTTATCGAGTTCTAAAACTTGTCTAGAGGCATCATTTCAAAATATTACGGGATAATTACCTAATCGACCGAATTTCAAATCCAATATGTTAAGTATTTGATTTGATCATATCTTGCTATATGTTCTTCCGTTTCAAGCGTTTTATATCTTGTTGGAAAGTTCATTTTGAGTTCTAAAACTAGTCTTCCGAATTCATTTACTCCCTCCGTCCCTAAATGTTGTTCCAATTGCGGATTACGAAGGTTGACCGACGATAAAGTTAAATGATCCCTGTGAAAACTCGGATTATTTTTAGTAAATAAAATTTACATATTCAGAAACTACATTAAACCCGCTACAAAGCCTGCAAAAAATAATTCAACTTTTATAAAATTTTGATATAAAAAGTAAGAGTTTAAGAGTGATTTAAGTTGACCCTCGATAAGCGAAATGGAACTTCTTTTAGGGACAGAGGGAGTACAATGTGCACTAAGTAAAAGGTGCAGATTAACCTGAAATTCGCCAACATTTCCGATTTCACTCTAAACTCGTGTAGTATTTGATATGATCATATCTTATCGTATTTCGTTCCATTTAAAGCGTTTTCTATTTCTTTGGAAAGATCTTATCGAGTTCTAAAACTCATCTTCGGGCGTCGGTTTCAAAATATTATGGGATGATTGCCCAACTAACCGAGTTTTGAATCCAAAACTGCATTTACGCTAAATTTTCAATATTCACGCTGAAAACGTTAAATCACATAAGACATACTAAGTATTTTATTTGATCATATATATCTTGCCGTATGTTCTTCCGTTTCAAGCGTTTTATATCTCGTTGAATTGAGAAGACCTTTTTGTTTTTTAAAACTAGTGTTCTGACTTCATCGAAAACCGGATTTGTGTGATGTGACGTGTCGCATGATTGTCACAATAAAGACTTGTGGGCCTATTTTGAAAAAAAAAACGTGAATTCCCAAAGTAACCACCACATCCAAATCATACTTTGGTATTGTTTTTGTATTCTCTAAGACACGAACGTAGCTAGGGGACAACCTTGACATTGGCCCACCCCAATTTTTAATTATGATTAAAATTTTAAGGTAAATAGAATCATATATGTCGGCACACCCCAATATAATGCCCTGCCTCTGTCTGGCCTTCGCCACTGCTCTATGAGATGGGCAAATTGCCTAGTGTGATAAATTAAAGTAACCAGTTCTAGAATGTCTATTTTGTTTGCTATGGGTAGTGTACACTATGAACTGCCGCTTTCTTTATGATGTCTCATTTAATATATACTTAAGATATATTGATTCAATCATGTTAATATTTTTGAAATAAATATAATTCCTTAAATAGAATATGAGCACGAAGTGGACGTGCTTTGTGTGCGCCGGCGATAGCGGCATACACCTCAACTAGAGGAAGGAATATAATAGCTTATCATAACCCTCATCGAATATTCCTCTCAATGGATTTCAAAACTCGAAGTGGTGAGGTAAGCGAATCCAATATATGGAGAGCGATCTATCATCTATGTCATTAGTTTATATGTCACTAGCTATATAAATATATTCCGTAGTTAACACTACATTATTTGAGTCACTTATTGCTAACACATTATTTTTCTGAAAATAATTCCAATAAATATATAATCAAAGTAAAAGTAGTAAACAAAATGCAAAGTAACTTTTAGTGACTAGTATTGTATTTAAATTTTACATCATACTAACTGTAAAACTTATCCATTGTATTTTAGTCCAAAGAGTTTTTATTTGTAATACTAAGTATTTTATAATGAAACCCCTCTATTTTTCTTTGCTTTTTTGTTATTAAAAAGGTCGAAAGACTCATAGCGAAATCAAGGAAATCATGAGATCTCGCTTTTGTGGACCATGGAGGTCTTATACGAAAGTATAAGACTGCAAACAGCATGAACCGGGGCAGCAGCATATCCATGTGGCGGTCCCTGCTGGCCGTACTGCTGACCGTACCTGCCCCGACCGCGACCCCCTCGGCCACGCGTGCCCCGACCGCGTCCACCTCGACCACGAACAGCAGGAGCGAGAGGACGCTGCTAAACTTGATGCGGCTGGTTCTGGACTGCAAACACCTGATGAGTGATGGAAGCTTCTTGTTGGTTGAAATATTTGTCCCGTTGCTCTATCTCGATGAGATGGTTGGGTAGTGTTTCAAAGGGAAAATGTTGAGGGAATAAAGTAATAGTGTTGATCATGGAGGCATAATCCTTCCCCAAACCGATAATAATAGCCTTCAGCATATCAAGTTGAGAAACAGGACAATTAATACAAGCAAGATCATCCACCAAAATTTTTATTTCCCGTAAATAACTGTCCATAGATTGTTCAGGCTTTTTCCTAATAGTGTTCAACATATGTTTTAATTCCATAGACCTGGCTAAACTGGCAGACATAAATCGGGATTCCAACCGTTCCCAAATCCCAAAAGAGTGTTTCAAATCACGAACATCAATAAGCACATCACGAGACAAAGTTGCAAATAGCCAGGAACGAATAGTTTGATCAATACGCAACCATGATGAGTACTCGGGATTGGGAATTGGACGATTGGACAAATCTATGGAATAAACAGAGGGTACCTGAACAGAACCATCAACCATTCCCAGAAGATTTTGAGAGACCAGAAAGGATTCAAACTGGGTACGCCACGTAGTGTAGTCCTCAACCGCCTGTAATTTCGTGGTCACAATATTAGTGACATTAGTTGCCACATGAGACACTGTTTGAGCTAAATCTGCCATGGGAGAGAATGAAGAAGACGTCGATGCAGGTCTAGCAGCAGTTCCGGACGAAGAGATTCCCGGGGAACCCACAAAAGTGGGGCCCGAAAATTGGACAGAAGCCGGAATCGAGACCTGAGGCAGAGCTGTAAATTGTGGCGGTGGCTCCAAAGAGACAGATTGAACAGGGGACGGAGGGGACCATGAAAAAACTGGAGGCAGAGTCTGGAAGAGACTGAACGGCGCTGTGCTTCGTGATGGTGAGGCGAATGAAGAAGATGCGATAGCAGCGCTGGACGGCATGAGAACTGGTGTGCCGATGGAAGAGGTTGAAAACGGCTGCGAACCTGGAATGACCGGTGCGCCGATTGTTGAAGACGGAACTCCAAGGCCTGCGCTAGCTGTGGTGGTCGTTGCTGCAGCAGATGCCATCTCGACAGAAAGCAAGAGACGACGATTGAGGAAGAGAAGAAACGGAAAAAAATAGGTTTTACCTATGCTCTTGATACCATGTGAAGAATAATACCCGTTGCTCTCTAAGGAGCTCGGGCGGATATATTTATAGTAGAGAAGTAATGTCTAAAATACAAAAAATGACCCTAGTCTATTACCTAAAGCCTAAAGAGATCATTGGTTCGATGAATTCAGGGTAAATTAATTAATTATGATGAACTCGTTATAAATTATTGTGATCTTATTTGTCTCTTTAGTTAGTAGGGGTAATTTAAAGTGATTGTCCATTATTTGCAGTTGCCTCATCCATTTCCGGCCGACTCGGCAAAAAACAATTCGGAGAATACTATACTTTGACCAGTATGATAGCCAAGCTAAGGTCTTAAGATGATGTTACAATTAAGAAGCGCGACTTACTAGTACACGACCAAGATACATAGCTGATAATGATGGAAAGATCTTCAAACATACGGAGTATTGGGTTTCTCTAGATCGAGTTCAAAAAACTTAGTGCTAAAGGAAAAAAGTTCGACATTCTGAATTGATGTGTAGAAACAATCCGGCCATACCGTGGAGGATCAATCACTATCGCTGATCATAAGAAGAGAGATTAGTATTTTTTTCCTTTATATTTAAGAGCTAAATACAAACTTTGAATTTATTTTGTGTTATTTCTATTACTAGTTTTATTTTCCAGAGACAAAAACATGGTAGGAATTGAAGGTTCTCATGTGGGAGATCTAGCTATAATGTGACATTGAACAAGAAAAGAACCCGTGAGTGGAGTGACCAGATGCTAAAGACATGCTACGTAAGACAATTACATAGATACTCAATACTTAATTAGCCTTATTTAAGCTACAATTACAATAATTACAAGGAACGTATATGATTTGTGAACCATTCATACTCAATAAGAGAACTATGTACGTATAGACTAAAGTTTATGTGTAGTGTTGGAAGTCATTGGTAATTTTTGGTTTAAATAATTTATTGTATGTTTTTTGTTGCTAGGAAAATTTATAGTTGCAAATTAGTGATCATTCACAATCCATAGATGAAGATGAAATTTTTTGGAACAGTGTGGACCTCCCGCATGTGGTAAAATATTTGGCCTCAGGAGTCTTTCAAAGTTGCATTCAAGAGTTAGTAGAAGGCTAATTTCAAATTGACAAAAGTTCGTACGTGTGTTGGTGAACCCTTAATTTCGGCCGTTGGGAGAGAGGACTGATGATATCTCATGTGGCTGTTTTTCTTCCATGCAGTATAGGAGCTGTCCATCTAGTGCCCCATTTAATTAGCTAGTTTAAGGACAATAATTGGAGGGAGCATGCTGGGTACGTATATACGGGGCATTGATTTAAGGCAAGTAAGTTCACATGCACGGTCATCATTCTTGGTGTACACAAAATGTGTATATTGCTTGTGTACACGGACAATTAGGAGGATTTTGACATCAAATCATACCTTTTTTTAAATGAATTGTCTGTGTGTATAGACAACTAGAGGGATTTGTGTACACTAAGAATTATCCTCATACTTTTGTCTACATATATTGACCTGACCGATCAATATAAAGATGTGTACGATACCCCCATTTTTTAAATTGGTATGGCCGTATGGTAGATGTCACCAGTTCCAAATTTCATTCTCAAAAATTGCCTTAAATAAATGGGAGTAAAGTAATCCTAAATGCACAAACACTACTATAATATAATGTTTATTTTCCCTAAATAAACATTATATACTCCATCGTTCTATTTTACACTTACCTTGACTTAATAAGAAATTCATATTTTTATAGCTAAAGGGTCAAAATGACTCTTGAACTGACTTAAAGTGTTCAATTAGCCCCTTATATAGGAGGTTCTGCCCGGCCGTCGCCGATTGGAGAGGTTCCCGGTGGAATTTGTTTTAGCATCTTCTTTATTAAGTCTAGTTTACCCGTACCGAATTCCAGCTAAAAAATCAAGCGGGAAGGCAGTCAAATCATTTTTTGAAGATAACTGCGAAGTTAAACAACGCAATACATTTCGGAAAATCATTTGATTGCCTTCGCGGTTGAAGTTTTAGCTGAAATTTGGTATGGGTAAACTAGACTTAATGAAGAAGATGCTCAAAAAATTTCATCAATAAATTCCACAGGGAACCGCCCCAATTAGTGACGGCCGGGCAGAACCTCCTATATAAGGGGCTAATTGAACACTTTAAGTGAGTTCAATGGCCTATTTGACCCTTTAGCCTATTACTATTTGTGGTAAAAACAAAAAAATGAAAAATCATAAAATTTAAAAAATTAAATATTTTTTTTAAAATAGAAAAACTGAAAAAGTAAAAAATAAATAGATAAAGCACACAATTTTTTTTAAATATGGAGGCCTTTCCTGTCAGCTCCAAGCACCGCTACCTCCGAATGGTGAAAAAAGTGCCTTGTATGTAAACATGCTACTTTTTCTCAGAAAAAGCCATGAAGATGACATATTAATCTTTAAAAATGTCAAATGTTGCTCTGAAACTGCCATCAACATGGCATTATCGATGCATGTTGGCATTTTTTCGGGGGTCGGAGCTGGTGACGCCGGGAGGCAGCGGCAGAGACCCGCATAATTTTATTTTTTAATTTTTTTACGTTTTTTTATTTTTTATTTTGATTTTTAAGTTTTTATACTTTTATAATTTTTTAATTTTGTATTTTCTGATTAATTTTTTTAATATTTATTTCATGTTTTTTATTTTTTCAATGTTATTATAAATAAAATTATTATTTTTAGATTTTAATTATTAATAAAAATATGAATTGTATATTAACATAGAAAGGGTAGGATTGGAAAGTTAATTTATTTAGGGAATCTAACAGTTGTATTTCTATTCTTGCAATTTAAGTTTCATTTAATCTTATTTGGGGAATTTCCCAATTCGATTTCTTGATTGTTCACATTTTTTAACGGAAAATTTTACTCAAAAAAGGTTAAGTCCCGAGATGTATATACTGAGTGCGTGCTTCTACAAATTGAATACTCATATGCCTCCCTTCTGCCCACAAAAAAAATCAATATATAGGTAACCCAACTGAAAATAAAATGCACTTTCAATTTCCAAGATGTGTCTATATATATGCTTTTGTTATGATGTGTCTATGCATGACATCTCCAATAATATCTCAGTGTGTCTATAATAATCAAATAAATTTTTAGTTTGAAATTCTTCACCATTATCAGCACATATATTTTTATCTTTTGCTCAAATTGAGTACACTTAACTGTGTTGCAAAATTGAATTAGAAGCTTAGACACCTCAAATTTATTTGACATTAATTAATTTAAGAAATGCAAACACCTCTGATCTAGTATGTCATCATCAATAGATATGAACCATCCCGCACCAAAAATAGAGTAACATTTATAGCCTCCCCAGATGTCACAATGTATTGGTTCAAAACAACGAGTTGTCCTAATGGTGGTTACGTTGTGCGTAGGAAAAGATAGACTAGTTTTCTTAGCTCTTATGTGGGACCGCAAAGATCGTTGCACTATATAAGGCCCTTGAGAAAATCGATGTGATGTAACTTCCCATCAGATATATGTCCCATACGTTGATGCCATAAACCGGAGGTAATACTAACAGACATTGCCACTCGTTCACCGCTCGAAAACTATGGATGGTAGAGACCCACGCCAATCAGCTTCCTCGAGGTTAAGCCTACAAAATACAGAAGTTTGGGGAAAATGTGAGTACGTGTATAATTTAGATCACTTGTTAGGCGACTAGCCGAAAGTAAGTTGCATCGGAACTTTGGAATAAACAGAACACGTCTAAGAAGAAACTCATTAGGTAAGAATAAATTACCAACAACATGAACCGGAACTAACTCACCGTTAGGAATTCTAGCTAATCGGTGGCACCGCCGTGTTGTTGGCCAAATGCTCTGTAGCTCTAGAGTCAATTATCCAAGGAGGAGCATATGACAACATATTTGTTGTATTCACTTGAGCACGAGAACAAGAGGGACTCAGTTTCATGACTAGCTTTAATAGTTACACTGCCAACCGTCATAGCTTAGGAATGAGATAACAATGATATTCCAAATGATAATAAATACTCCGTACATGACTAAAATTAAGGTATCACACACAAATTAACTTTTTCTACGTAGTATATACTTAATTTAGTGAGAATAATAATAACTTTAGTGAATTAGTGACTATGATTATTTTCAATTTTACATTATAGTGATCATGCTAGAATGTTTAATTAGAGTAACTTTAGTAACTATAGTCACGTATCATTCATATATTTTATTTTCTTAATATCTAAGGATAAATCTCTAAATATAAAGATTAGATTTGGTAGGTAACAATGATAATTGGATTTAATTTGATGGAATTTTAAACATTTTTAGGTACAATTATAAAACAAGTATTTTTTTTTGACAACTCTGATACTTTTCTAAAAAACGGGGTACCATACTACCATTCATTTAATTGGACCACATTACTTTATCATTTTTAATTTTAATTTAGATTTAAATAATTCAACTGCTGCATTCTCATTTGTCCATATGAACAAAGGTATGGTACCTTATGGGTACCAGAATCTACCTTTTTTTTCTTTTTTTTTCTTCATTCTACATTTATTGATAATAAACAGTCTTCCATTTATGATCAAATATCACATCACAAACTTCCTAGTCTTTACACGTCGATCTCATTCCATATCAACAACCCTCCTATATATCTTTATAATTACTCTCATCTTTTTGCTGCATTGTTCTAGACATAATAATGTGTGTGATAGCAAAAATCCCTCCGTTCTTGTGTCCTCGTTATGAACCTTAATTGGTTGTCTATCACCAGCGCCAGGCTACAATTAAGAGGTTATTAGCCAATCAACTTATTCGATATGTTACTTTTTGTGAGATAAACTACTAGCTATTAGTTGCATTTGTTTGTTAGATTTAATTTTAGCCGTGTTTGCATTTTTTCTATTATAAGAACGAAGTCGTTTGTTTTAAAGATTATATGATAAGCTAAGTGATTTTCAGAAAATAAAAGTTTTTTTATCGTAAA